TTTTGGCACTCCTGTGCGTCAGCCATCTTTTCTGAAATGCTAACAGTTTATAGTATTACGTAATATTTTTCTATGACAATGTTTACAAAATGTGTACACATTTGAGACATGCGCAGAATGGACTGTAACCCAGCTTTAATGGGTTTTGAATGTTTCTGTTCAATTTCTAAAGTCGTGCTATATAAATATTTACCTAATACTTAGCCTTAAAATGTTCTGTTTTTGCCGAATTTAAGTGGATGTTTGCCGCAAGGTCGAGCGTTATGTAAATATTTAGGTAACACTTAATTAGCCTTAAAATGATCTGTTTTTGCCCAATTTAAATGGATGTTTGCCATCTGGTGCTATCAAAACTTTACTTATGACTTATGTCTATTTGACATTTACATCTGCTAGTTTAGTAAGATTAATAATCGACCTTCGCTTACTTATATTATCAGTTGATTTATTGACCATTATTACCTCAACATGACTAAAAAGCAACGAATCGAATGTATCATTGTCCGGTCTGATGGCGAACGTATTTCTTTAGCCCGCGTGCAGGCCCAAGGGAACTGATAGTGGGCCTGCAAGCAAGGCCCGGTATTTTGTAAAACGCCCCTTTTCATAACACGCCCCATTCGCGCGTCAATTGTCAAAAAGGAACCAATGACAGCACCCAAATAAAAAAACAAACAAACTCGCACTAAAATGTTGCGGGGTTTTCTCTGCTTATTCAGAACATAAACAATGTGCCGGTAAATGACTGCGTTTTAACTCCAAAAAAAGCAAGCAACGAAGTCAGTAATTGCCAAATTTGCAAGTGCTCATTTTCAACTAAAATCGGAATATAGGCAAATTAGGACGAATTTCAACAGAAAACCAGTCTCAAACTTCAAATCGTGAGGGAAGTCGTGCGACACTTTAGCATTTATAATTGTGCTTCGCTGTCGCCATAGTTATAAATAAATTGTCGATCTCACTTATCAGATCTTGTGTGCAATTCTTGTTGGCGGTGGAAAGTACGAAATTTATTTCAGTTATTTCATTTGGTAAAGAACTCTACAAAAGAAGAGAGCGTTCAGAGTCCAGATCGTTTCGTTTCAAACGGCAATTTAATAC